ACATGGGAAAGAGGTGATGATAGAAGTATGATAGATTTCATAATTGTTGATGAAAGAATGAGGAGCGCGGTGGTAGATACAAGGGTTTACCGGGGCTCTAACGTAGGGACGGATCATTACTTGGTCTTATGCCGAATTAATGGTCTTTTCAGATGTTGGAGGCATCGGACATCTGTGTCTACCACAGCGTTACAGCGTATAAGAACAGAGAGGTTACAAGATGAAGGTGTGAAAGAGAAGTTCAAATGTAGATTGAGAGAAAATATAAGTGGTATGGCTGAATTGTGTATAAATGATTTAGACTTGGAGACTGTGTGGTATAATGTCAAGAAAGGTTTAGTGGATGCAGCTACCGAAGTATGTAGTGTAAGTAAGAGAACGAATGAAAGGAAAAATAACACGTTATGGTGGGATGATGAGGTACGGATGGAAGTTGAAGCAAAGAAGAAAGCATGGCTAGATTTACTAGCAACCAAGGCTAGTAATTCTAGCAGTATGAATGATGATATTGAAAGGAAAAAGCAAGAAAGAACGGATAAGAATGATAGAAGAATATCGGATAACTTCCAGGCAAACATTAAAATGTTCTGGAAACTCGTAAGAACTACCAGGGGACATTCACAACAGCCTAGAATGAATGCTATACGAGACCAGAATGGCTGTATTCTGAATGACGAAGTTTTGAGTTTAAGGAGATGGAAGGAATACTTTGAAAGCGTGTTTATGAGTGATGAGACGTTTGAATTAAATGAAATAGAAATTCCGAAAGAAGAGGAAATAGATAGAGAAATAATTATAGATGAAATAATAAAAGCAATGAAAAGTATGAAAGCAGGTAAGACAGCCGGTTATGATAGAGTATCTCTCGAAATGCTAAGGGCTGGAGAAGGAGTGGTGGCAGACCTGCTGTACACCTTGTTTAATTTATGTTGGGAACTTAAGCGGGTACCGGGAGACTGGTGCAAAGCCGTGATAGTCCCAATATATAAGGGAAAAGGATCACAGCAGGACTGTAAAAACTACCGTGGTATCAGCCTTCTTAGCATTGTGGGAAAACTGTATGCTAAGGTACTAATTGAAAGAGTTATGAAAGAAACTGACGGAAAAATTTGGGGTGTGCAAGCGGGATTTAGAAAGGGAATGGGATGTACGGATCAGGTCTTTTCCATGCGCATGATCGCCGAGAAGTTTTTGGCCAAAAACCAAAAAGCTTTTTGTGCGTTCATGGACTTGGAGAAGGCTTATGACAGAGTGGACAGGGATGTGTTATGGCAAACACTGAACTCATTTGGGTTGAGCGCTGGTCTGATACAGGCATTGAAGTCTCTATATAGGGACTCTAGTGCTTGTGTCAGGATCAACGGGGCCTACTTGTACTGGTTTGACATCCATAAAGGTATCCGACAGGGCTGTGTGGCTTCCCCGTGGTTGTTCAACCTATTTATGGACAGTTGTTTGGAAAATTTGAAAGTAGAAGAATGCGGGTTAAGAATGGGTGAGTTAACCGTCAAATGCCTTTTGTACGCCGATGATCAAGTCATACTTTGATGGTTACATTAATGAACAGGACATTAAAAGAAAAGGGAATGAAAGTGAACGCAAGTAAGACGAAAGTTATGGTTTTTGAAAGAGAAGAAAGTAAAATGATATGTGAAATAAGAATAGAAGGGGAGTTGGTAGAGCAAGTAGATGAGTTTGTATATTTGGGATGTGTGTTTAGCAGGGATGGTAGATATGATAAGGATATAGAACGACGAGTGAATGAATAGAGTGAATGGGGCTCTACACTCTATTGTGAAAAGTCAGAATATGTCCAAAAAGGCACGTATGGCAATTCACAATGCTGTGTTAGTACCTACTTTAATGTATGGTAGTGAAAGTTGGGTGTGGCAGAAGAAGCATGAGAGTAGAATAAATGCTGTAGAAATGCGGTCATTAAGGAGTATGTTAGGGATGAAGCTGAATGACAGAGTGAGAAATTGTTTAATAAGAGAAGAGTGTGGTTTGCAAGATGATGTTGTGACCAGGATTAAGAAAGGAATGCTTCGGTGGTTTGGCCATGTAGAAAGAATGAATGAGGAAAGAGTGACAAAGCAAATTTATGTTGCAGAGGTGAACGGCATAGTCGGGAAGGGTCGCCCTAGGCGAAAGTTTATCGACCAAATTGGCGATATATTAAAAATGGGCCAAATCAAGAGTACCTTTAACCGACGAGCGTGTATGCGTAGGTATATGGATGTGATGGAAGCGAGAGAGGTGTGTCAGGATCGTGCCAAACGGAAGTCCATAATCTCTGCCTACCCCTCTGGGTGACAGGCGTGAGTGTTTATGTATTTTATGTATGTTTATTAAAACTTCCATAAAGTGTTATTATATGTATCGTTTATGTAATAATAAAAGTAAACTACTAAATAATAAACTGTAAATCTGACGAAATAAAGAAATCCTACCAAAGAAGAAAAGTATCAATTCAATTATTATAGTATTCAAATCAGTTTATCTACTGCAAATATTTATACTGTGGCATGTATTTACCGCACGGAGTCCGCATAGAGAACCTATGGTTCGCGCCGCATCCTGTAGGTCGTGTCTGAAGTCGAGTCTTTGCTTAACAAAGTCTCGGATTGGGGGCGACTAAATCTAGTCCAATTTAATCCTCAGAAGACACAAGTTTGCGCGTTTACCGCTAAAAAGAACCCCTTTGTCGTATCTCCTCAGTTTCAAGGCACTCCCCTTCTTGCCTCAGCCAGTATCGGTATCCTCGGAGTCGACATATCTAGTGACGTGCAGTTTCGTGGTCACTTGGAAGGGAAGGCCAAATTGGCCTCTAAAAAGCTTGGCGTGCTCAGCAGAGCGGGACAGTATTTCATGCCGTCACACCGCCTGCTACTTTACAAGGCGCAAGTTCGGCCTCACATGGAATACTGTTCCCATCTCTGGGCAGGGGCTCCCCAGTGCCAGCTCCTTCCACTTGACCGCATCCAACGCAGAGCGGCTCGAATTGTCGACGACCGAGCCCTTTCCGATCGGCTCGAGTCATTTGCACTGCGAAGAGATGTTGCATCCCTTTGCATTTTCTTTCGCATCTACCATGGGGAGTGCTCTGAGGAATTGTTCGGATTAATCCCAGCCGCCAAATTTCACAAACGCACATCGCGGCAGAACTCCCGATACCATCCACACCATCTGGATGATTGGCGGTCCACCACTGTGCGATTTAGAAGATGTTTTCTTCCTCGCACGACCTCCTTGTGGAATCGATTACCATCAGCGATTTTTCCGGACCGATACGACTTAGGGACCTTCAAGAAAAGAGCGTACTCCTTTTTAAAAGGCCGGCAACGCATCTGCGATTCCCCTGGTGTTGCAGTTGTTCATGGGCGGCGGTAGTCACTTACCATCAGGTGAGCCGCATGCTCGTTTGCCCCCTCTCCTATAAAAAAAAAAGGTCGTGCGTCGTGCTAGATGGGGTGAGCTGGGAAAGCGTTATAATTGCCTACAGGTTTGGGATAACCTCCCCTTTACGTCCATTACTTTATATTTAACAGGTGCGAGCCAAAATTTGCACAGCTTTGCTGTGCTTGAGGTGGTATTATTGGGTATTCGAGAAATTTAACCCGCATGACTCGTTTTCTGGTAGCTTAATAGCTACCAGAAAACGAGTCATGCGGCCATAACGGCCATAAAAAGTCATCATTACTGAGCGGGATCTGTTCCTCCCTATACTACCGTCTGGCCTATTACGGATACACAGAAAACAGCTACGGTCCTCCACGATGCATTCACATCGAACATCTGACACGACTACTGGGCAGAGATATGCACACGGCAGTGAGTCAGCCAGGTTCGAAAAAAAGTGCCAGTAGTGTATATATTTACACGTACCATTTCGAAATACTTTCGAATCCCGCATAATTCAAAAACTATTAGGCCTACACATATAATTTTGTATACCTAATAAGAGCCCCTGAAGTACATTGTTCCCCCTATTATAGTTTTTGTGTTATGTAGGTCTGAAAAGATAATTTTTATCATTCACTAAATCGATGATCAAAAACCTAGGTAATTTCTAGGTTACTTATAAACTTGAAATTTAACATTAAGATTGATTAGGCGTATACAAAGGACAAAAATCTGGAAACTAGAAATTATCGATATTCGTGTCGAAAGTGTCAACAAAGTTATTAGTGCGGTTAGTTCTAAAAATTGTACTTGAAACTAACCGCATGTCGGTATTTAATTCTTATAAGAACTAAAATCATTAAAGATCACATGTATTTATTTAAGTTAATAAACGGATTAAATTTTTTTTTAAATATTGGTATCCCATTCAAATAGTTCGTTCAGTTAGGTGCATTCTCTTTTGAAAACATTTTATCAATTTATTATAAACCAACTAATTTTTCAAAATATTTCTTATTTCAAAATTTTACCCTTTATTTCGATTAATCACGAGCAGAAATCCAAGTCAAAAAGCACGTCTATCATCATTTCGCGACCTTGATTGCCGACGCTAAGGCGCAGTCGGCCAGCGTGTGCCTCAGCTCGACCGGATTACAAGCCTACGTACTACTTCTGCATAGAGACTCGACCCTTTCTATTTTATATTTTTGATATAACTCCAGCTATTTTTGACAAACAATTAAATATTTTGAGCAATCTTAAAACCAATTGGTGGTAATTTGGCGATACCTACTGACGTTGTAAGCTCGAGCGCCAGCGGGGGCGAGCTCCTTTTTCTTGAAGGTGATCCCGCTCGCGACCACGTCAGAGAGAAGATCAACACAGAGGAACAACCCGGAAATAATTTATTTGTCAAACTGACTTCCGAACAGATCATCAAACACATCAATGTCAGATAGTGAAATGTGCCCTTGGCGGTTGATACTAAAATTCTCTCGAATAGTAGGCCTACACCAAACCACACGTATAAGGGATAAAACAAAGAGGGAAAATGAGTGGTGATATTTAAAGAAAATAATTTTTACATCGGTGCTTACCTGTAACTCATCATCCACAGCAGAGTCGAACGTTTCTCTGAGTCTCGCTTCGCCCCTAGCATCCGCCTTAGCCGCCATCTGCTTCTCTCGCAATGAGGTTCGACGAACTGATCGCACTCTGTGACAAATATATAAAATTAGGATCCCAAATAATTAAATATGGTCGTGGTGTTGGAAATTTCCCATTTCCTCTTTGGGTTTCCTAATCCTCATCAACACATAAGCGGTCCACGACTGCACGTTGATATCTCCAATAGCAGTAGCAGGTCGGATTCAGCTAAACCGTCATTTACGGATACGATATAAAATACAGTATGATTTGCCACTTTCTGTAGGAGGCTACAGGGTCTTCCTGACAATTCTCTAAGTTGCCTTTGTGACGCTCCCTATGTTGCCACCATACACAGTAGATTATAGGTGTCACAAAAATAAACGAAGGAAGATAATGCTAAAAAATTGCAGCATCCGAGCACAAATGTAAGATTTTTTTGAACATACATACATACATAAACACTCACGCCATTCACCAAGAGTGGTAGGCAGAGACTATGGACCTCCATTTGGAACGAATCTGATACACCTCTCTCGCTTCCTCCACATCCCTACGCATACACGCTCGGAAGATAAACGTACTCTTATTTCGGCCCATTTTCAATATATCGCCAATTTGGCCGATAAACTATCGCCTAGGATGTCCCTTCCCGACTCTGCCGTTAACAATAAAACGTAATAGATTATTTTCAGGGTCTGGATTTCAAGCATCTTGTTTGCTACGTCTCATCAATAATAACCTTTTTAAGTATATTGCCCACGAAAGACTGAAAAAAAATGCAGCAGCTGGAAAGCATTATTAAGAGGTAGCAAGTCTCCGTCCATTAGTAAGGTGTAGCGTATGCAGATCAGCCGGGCTATTCACAATCGTCTCGGAAAGCGAATTCGACTCGGATTCGATAACTTCTCGCACCGAAACCAATAAATGCTATTCACATTTAACGTTCGGATAAAGGTCACTTAGATACATTCCATAACTATTGTATCGTCATTTAGTTACATGCATTTACGAATTTTGTAGATAAATAGGCTTTTGTATTTTTTTAGAGTAACGCCTAAACAAAAACATAATGCAATATTTTGGTGTTAGCCATTGATATCGAATATAAAAAATATATAATTTAACTATATAATAAATAACAAAAAAAGTGAGATATGTCTCGTTTCACAAAGCAGCATATATATATATTTGTGATAGAAAACTTATAAAAAACACACCTTTCACAAAAATTCAGCTTTACGATTAAGTGCAAATATTGAAGTAATTATATGAAAATACGTCTTATAGATAATTGTAATTAATTTTTGTTACCTACCTTATAATTAAAAGGGTTTATTTATCTCTTCTAATCATCAATATTCGAAAAGTTTTCGCCAGCCTCAGAGCTCTCGTAAAGTTTCCGATGCAAACTGTCACAATTATCGAAATCAAACGTCAAAGAACGCCCCATAGAAAAAAACCCAGACCCGAAAGAAACGAGACATATCTCAGTTTTTTTGTTATTTATTATATAGTTAAATTATATATTTTTTATATTCGATATCAATGGATAACTCCAAAATATTGCATTATGTTTTTGTGCAGGCGTTACTCTAAAAAATTACAAAAGCCTATTTATCTACAAAATTCGTAAATGCATGTAACTAAATGACGATACAATAGTTATAGGATGTATCTAAGTGACCTTTATCCGAACGTTAAATGTTAATAGCGTTTATTGGTTTCGGTGCGAGAAGTTATCGAATCCGAGTCGATTTCGCTTTCCGAGACGATTGTGAATAGCCCTGCTGGTTAGAACTTGGTGAAATAGCAGAAATTATACCCGACTCGACCAGAAAACCCATGCATAAAGGTGATTTTAGCATACTGCATAGTTTAATAATGTTATGCGTTTCATTATCCTTGGATTTAATTCCTATTTATTTTTTACTAACTATATTCTCAGACCAAGAAATAAAGATGGAGCGCTGCACACATTTCAAGTGACATAGAAATAATGATCAACATTTACTATTAACAACATTTTTAAAAAATTCAGGCAAATATCTTTGTTCTTTCTTTTTTTTAACAGCCCGTAAAATTCTGATGCACACAAAATATCCACCTACAACCATGTTATTGGTAACAAATTATTTTACATTCATGTGTGCATAAGTCCGTATTTTTACAGCGTCACTTGACGCAGTGCTCCGTCTATGTTTCTTTATTGGTTTGCGACTATCAGCCTTAAAATCAGTAGAACAAGGTAGGGCTACGCTGCAGCTATATTATGGTTGTAGTACAAATTGGTCGGCTCGACCGGAGAAGGGCAACGCAATTATAGAATACCAGACATGGTGAGTGTAGAGAACTGGAGATCTTTTTTACTGGGAATGAGGCATTATATTAGGCAATATTGTTGCAGCATAGCTCTAACTCGTATAAAACGTTACGTTATAATAATGATTTTTTACGTTTACGCAAATATTACACATTAATCCAAGTATACTATGCAAGACTTTTAGGATACTGTAAGCCCGTTTATGTGTAGATCGAACCAAAAGTTATTATTCAAAAGCTGAAGGTAACCGGGCTAACTAATGACATCGGGACGTCATACACTTCAGTCACCTCCGTGGTCAAGGGTGCTGTAAAGTACCCGAAACGTCGGGAAATAAAAATTATAAAATTAACGCGCCGCCGGCTCTCCTCCTGCTCGCATGTGTTGTACCTGGTGGTGCTGGCGGTGGAGGAGGAGCGGCGCGCGGTACGCAGGCGCTCGCCGGCTCTCCTCCTGCTCGCATGTTGTACCTGGTGGTGCTGGCGGTGGAGGAGGAGCGGCGCGCGGTACGCAGGCGCTCGCCGGCGGACAGCGCGGCGCGCCGCCGGCTCTCCTCCTGCTCGCATGTTGTACCTGGTGGTGCTGGCGGTGGAGGAGGAGCGGCGCGCGGTACGCAGGCGCTCGCCGGCGGACAGCGCGGCGCGCCGCCGGCTCTCCTCCTGCTCGCATGTTGTACCTGGTGGTGCTGGCGGTGGAGGAGGAGCGGCGCGCGGTACGCAGGCGCTCGCCGGCTCTCCTCCTGCTCGCATGTTGTACCTGGTGGTGCTGGCGGTGGAGGAGGAGCGGCGCGCGGTACGCAGGCGCTCGCCGGCTCTCCTCCTGCTCGCATGTTGTACCTGGTGGTGCTGGCGGTGGAGGAGGAGCGGCGCGCGGTACGCAGGCGCTCGCCGGCTCTCCTCCTGCTCGCATGTTGTACCTGGTGGTGCTGGCGGTGGAGGAGGAGCGGCGCGCGGTACGCAGGCGCTCGCCGGCTCTCCTCCTGCTCGCATGTTGTACCTGGTGGTGCTGGCGGTGGAGGAGGAGCGGCGCGCGGTACGCAGGCGCTCGCCGGCTCTCCTCCTGCTCGCATGTTGTACCTGGTGGTGCTGGCGGTGGAGGAGGAGCGGCGCGCGGTACGCAGGCGCTCGCCGGCTCTCCTCCTGCTCGCATGTTGTACCTGGTGGTGCTGGCGGTGGAGGAGGAGCGGCGCGCGGTACGCAGGCGCTCGCCGGCTCTCCTCCTGCTCGCATGTTGTACCTGGTGGTGCTGGCGGTGGAGGAGGAGCGGCGCGCGGTACGCAGGCGCTCGCCGGCTCTCCTCCTGCTCGCATGTTGTACCTGGTGGTGCTGGCGGTGGAGGAGGAGCGGCGCGCGGTACGCAGGCGCTCGCCGGCTCTCCTCCTGCTCGCATGTTGTACCTGGTGGTGCTGGCGGTGGAGGAGGAGCGGCGCGCGGTACGCAGGCGCTCGCCGGCTCTCCTCCTGCTCGCATGTTGTACCTGGTGGTGCTGGCGGTGGAGGAGGAGCGGCGCGCGGTACGCAGGCGCTCGCCGGCTCTCCTCCTGCTCGCATGTTGTACCTGGTGGTGCTGGCGGTGGAGGAGGAGCGGCGCGCGGTACGCAGGCGCTCGCCGGCTCTCCTCCTGCTCGCATGTTGTACCTGGTGGTGCTGGCGGTGGAGGAGGAGCGGCGCGCGGTACGCAGGCGCTCGCCGGCTCTCCTCCTGCTCGCATGTTGTACCTGGTGGTGCTGGCGGTGGAGGAGGAGCGGCGCGCGGTACGCAGGCGCTCGCCGGCTCTCCTCCTGCTCGCATGTTGTACCTGGTGGTGCTGGCGGTGGAGGAGGAGCGGCGCGCGGTACGCAGGCGCTCGCCGGCTCTCCTCCTGCTCGCATGTTGTACCTGGTGGTGCTGGCGGTGGAGGAGGAGCGGCGCGCGGTACGCAGGCGCTCGCCGGCTCTCCTCCTGCTCGCATGTTGTACCTGGTGGTGCTGGCGGTGGAGGAGGAGCGGCGCGCGGTACGCAGGCGCTCGCCGGCTCTCCTCCTGCTCGCATGTTGTACCTGGTGGTGCTGGCGGTGGAGGAGGAGCGGCGCGCGGTACGCAGGCGCTCGCCGGCGGACAGCGCGGCGCGCCGCCGGCTCTCCTCCTGCTCGGCCGCCAGCCGCGAGATACGCCCCCGCATCTCGCCCTCCTCGCATATATCTACAAACAAAACGTTAAACATAAAATAAAGTCAATGTTTATATTAAAAATGGTATGTAGATTGTTAAATAAAGTTTTTTGGATAAGGCTAATACAGATTGCACAATTTTTTTTAACAATTAATAAAAGCGAGCGTGTGCATGTGTGTTTGCGTATGTCCTATTGACTATGACTATAGACTATGACCCTATTTTTGATTTGATTTTGCTCTTATATCACATTTGAATTCGAATATAATTTTCTTTCTTTGGTACTGGACTGGTACGGTTGCACTTTTGCCAGTATCAAGTAACAAGAAATTATCCTAGACATGAAGCATACTTCTTCACATTATTGTCACATTTCTTGTGAAATATTGACATCAGCTTGAGCCAGCAGACAGTTGATGGCGATAGTATCTCAAGGCGCTTAAGCACATATTACCTTGAGGTTCACATCACCATCGGGGATTTGTTTCGTTTCCACTAATGGTTCATATGCGCTGATAATTAATATACAAAAGCGCATCACTTTTACATATCAAAATCCACTGCAAATCATTATTTAAACAATAGTACAGAGAGCAATCCGACGACGGTCTAACAAAAACTAATTTTCTTTTACTATTCAAAATTGTCACTTCCCCTAGTGGGGGGCCGTGCTCCATTTCTCTTACCGGTACGAGGCTGCCACTCGAGAACATTTTATACCCATGGTTTGTTAGTTCTTCGAGCTATATGACTGACCCATTGTTCACGCCCTTAGCTGCCCCGGCAAAGGTCGAATGGGCTAGGGCCCATAGTAGCCTCCTCGACGAGCAACAGAGGACGGGGCCCAATGGCCTATGGATAAATGTTCAAAAACGGCTGACAAATAAGCAAGCACTTAACCATCTCCTGAGGTAGGGTTGACCACAGGGTACCACCCAGGTGAGGTGTATGTAAAGTGGTGTGCGAAAGTGTATATACATATAACCTGACGGTCCGATGTAATCGGAGAGAAGATCCACAGGCGCTGCTGCTCTCCAAATGTGCGCTCCCTCCAGTCGTAGTTCACCAATTGAAAACTACTGCCTTTTTTTCACTATTTCAGTTTATCAACTTTATTGTACATTTAATTAACTTCAAAGTCAACCAACTCAACGTTCATCGAAATTAAAACAAGTGACACACGACACAAGTAACAAACCGTCGTTCAAAGTTCAATATTCAATGTTCCGGGTTCACGTAGCACAAATTTACAAACACGGGAACGAACGCGGCCTCTTCTCGAGTCTCAAAGTTCAGCGTTCCACACGACAAGCTAAAATTCTTTCGTACGATATTAAAATACCACGCCCGCAATCAGAACTCAAAATCCGCCTCGTTGACACGTAAAACTAACGAAAATAGTCAACACACAAAAAAGACACTTATCGCGACGTTACAATACAACATTAACTTCCAAAAACAATTAACCGGGCCACGCCCTCGAAATGGAATGCGAGCATCAAATTCCAGGCCGTCTGTCCACTCGGCGTGCGCGCACGGCTCCACGTTACACAAGCAAATTAAATATTGCAAAATGCACTTCAACATGCAATCACTATACAAATATTATACTATACACTATACGCGGCGTTCAATACACTCTCACCCCATCGGCCGGAATTACGGGAAGCCACCCCCCCCCCTCAGGCGTTTACCTCACCTCGATGGTATCGGGTGACGCACCGGGCGCGCGTTGTTGGATGCAAATTTCAAATGCCCATATTTGGGCCTAAACACCCATCATCACTCCAGCTTACTGATCCGTTGGGCTATGACGGTAACTATGGTTTTACTGCCGAGATTATCATTATTTAAAATTGTCCACAGCTCAAGATATCTTATATTGCAGGGTTGTCAATTTTTTTAACCCACTTCAAAAAGGAGAAGGTACTCAATTCGACTGTATGTTTTTTTATGTGTGTTACCTCTTAAGTTTTTTCTGGGTGAACCGATTTTGATGATTCTTTTTTTTATTTGAAAAAAACATGATTTTTTTTTATTTCTCATGTGGTCTCATAGAAATTTGATCAAGGTCTGACCAGTAGTTGTTGAGTTATCCTTAATAATTTATATTAAAGTCGGTTGTACAAAATTTTTAATTTTGCCACTTGTCTTTTAATAAAATGTTTTAATAATGTCCTCTCAAACAGAATTTCGGTCAAGGAGGCCAGGCTCGACGGAGAATCGCCATCTGTGCATGACAATATTATAGTGCCCAAATGAATTCTTACTTTTTTTTGCGTATCAAGCTTCACTTCGAACTTTTATTATACATGCTGCCCCAGAACTCAACGTCAAGCCGAAATTGGGTGACAAGATTGATTGTAATCATCATGAGAAAAATCAGAAAAAAAAATCTATCCCATGCAGTTTGGAAATTATGGGCATTTAAGAAAAACCTAGAAATTTGGTCTAACTGTAACCATTTTTCGGTTATTGTGGTTAATTTTTATTATTTTTGTTCATTTAAACTTTGGAACCGTAACCCTAAATAACATTTCTAGAACCACAGTAAAAAATAATGACACAACTGCCCCAAGTTTTCTAGAATTAAGACTATTTGTTAAAACTATGAATCTGAAATTTTCAAAATTTGTCGACTTTGAAAGGCCCACCTCTAAAAAAAATGTACTAAAGTGCCTTGGCAAGTGCCATTAAAAGTTCGTGCATTTAATCAGGATTGTAAAATGGTACAATATTTGTTAGTTTCATACTAAAAAAACAAACTAGTAAAAAAAAAGCCTCGAGTAACCCGATTTTTGCTAACCCATTTTACTCAGTTCAAATGTTTTTTATTCGCACAAGCTATTGGTAGGTTCTTAATTTTACGGCAATATGATGAGAGAGATGGATAGTGGACATGTTTGCCATGAGCGACCGAGACAGATAGTGACGCCACGCAGTGAGACGGAGATGCGTCTGACACCAGTTAGTACGTTTCGCTCATTCGTCTACTGCGCACCTTTCCGTATTCGCTTGTGTTGATTTAGTACTGACAACTATGGCTTCTCTTTTTGAACTTGGATTTTTGTGAATTGGACTTGTTGATTACATACCGGCAACTTTGGCTTCTCTCTTTTGGAATTGGACTTATGTGTTGGCATCCTTGTTATCTACCAAGCCTACGCGGTACACTTCACAAGAATATGCGAACATGCACCTCATTTATGGGGAATGCAGATGCAACGCAAGTGCCGCCACTAGACTTTATCGTGAAAGACATCCAAATTTAGAGCGCTAATAAAAGTTTAAATGAACAAAAATAATAAAAATTAACCACAATAACCGAAAAATGGTTACAGTTTGACCAAATTTCTAGGTTTTTCTTAAATGCCCATAATTTCCAAACTGCATGGGATAGATTTTTTTCTGATTTTTCTCATGATGGTTACAATCAATCCTGTCACCCCGTTTCGGCTTGACGTTGTGTTCTGGGACAACCTGTATATGCAGTACTATTAGAACAGCAAATGGCTTGTGGACAAGATGCTACTAAAACTTTAGCGAACCTTTTAAATTTACGTACTCTCAAATATTATCTGAATGCGACAATAAAAAACTGAAGTCATTTTTTTTCATTAATTCCAAGTAAATTACTTAACAGACTTATATTCAATCACTGTGATTTCAAATAATTATCTCAATAACCGTGTTTACGGTTTTCTGTAATATTTCATCGAATAGCCGAACCATAGAGTCCTATTCTAGTCATTGTGTTAATAACTAAGTGCACCAAGCTTCTGAAAAAGGCATATGTCTAGCAGTGAACTGCCGCATTCTGATGATGATGAAAATGATAATGGTGGTGGTGGTGATGAAGCTTTTGTTTGTTCACAAGTTATCGCCGTCATCAAAAATCGTTCAGAAGGATATAAAGTAAACTAACCAGCAGGTGTCTCGTCGTGCTTATTCCTCACGTTGAGATCAGCTCCGTACTGCACCAACAGCTCTAATACTTCTAACTGCAACAAAGGTTAACAATACTCAAGCAAATATTTATGTACGAGAATATTATTGAACTTGTCCATATCCATAGAATAATCATGGTGCCTTTCAAAATGTTGTTGTTAAGGTTAATGGTTAATTAAAGAAATTCTAAACTTATGTGGACAAGGTGTTGAGTCTTGGACGAGAACTGGTCTTACACCAAAGTCATTGAGAGAAATTACTCTTAATCATCTAGCATTATAATAATAGGCAATGTCTGCATCATTAATTATTCACATTTGGAAAAAGCCTTCGAGTATACATAAGTAAGCAATGTGTATAAGAAAAGCATGTAATAATATTTGAAAACTGTTTATTTCTGGTTTTTTCACTTAATTTCATGGACAGAGCAACCACACGTTGGCTAGATTGACAGAGGAAGAAAAAAGACGTCAGAATGAATCAATACAAAAAATTACACTTTAATGTTGCCATACAAAATATTAATTAAGTAATAAATTATTAGATTATTTTATGTTTAGTTTGTACTTAACACTATGAATACTCTAAGGACAAAATAAATTAAAAAGAAATAGCAAATCTTTCCATGTGGTAGTTGACCATTTGACCGTGATTGCTATTATAGAATTTTGGAAAAAAAAGAAGAAAGGTTAATTTGATGTATCATAAATGACCTCATTATCATTACAGCCCTCCACAATTCCACTGTTGAACACAGGTAATACCAAAAAAAAAACATTGTCCTGAATTTTATTCTGTTCTAAAAAAATCGGAGTAAAAGTCGGAACTCCAGAGTCAGTGTTACAGGAAAGAGCAGTACAACGTCTGCCGGACCAGCTAGTTTAAAATATATAATAAATACATCAGCACTTAGACCTTCAAGAATGCACCTGTTGGCATTCATTTTTTGAGAAATTGTTTATATTCACCACACAGGATAGGCGGGAAAGTGCGTCCTTCATCTATAATATTATACACCCTCGTGTAATGCTGTTCCCTATTATCAGTTTCATAAATTACGGATTTTGCTATCAGTTGCTTACCAAAGGTAAGTTTGGCACTTTGAAAAAATCTAACATACATTTTACATCCCGATTAAAGGTCATTTTAATATGTATGATTAATAAATTTTTGAGTGATAGAGCCATGCTGCAGCTACATTGTGGTTGCAGCACGAATGGGTCGGCTCAACCGGGGTAGAAACACGCTCTCACAGAATACCAGCATAAAATAGCAGCATGATGCTGCTCTGTTTCGTATGGTGAGAGTAGAGAACCGAAGACCCTTTTTACTGGAAACGAGGCATTCCATCTAAGTCCTCAGGGGTGACAACGCATTTGCATTTTGATTCTTAATTGAGGATAAATGTAGATGTCTATGGGCAACAGATTGAGAGGTTCTATGGGCAGCTGTACTCGTCATAGTTGGAGCCACATGCAAGTGTGAGTAACGATCCAAGAGCGAATCTTTCCACAGTACTACGGTGATATCCCGGACGTCAGTCTCAGCGATATTAGAATGGCTCTCCAGCACTTTAAAAACGGCAAGGCCCCAGGCTCAATGACCTCAATAGTGTCTCCCAACGTATAGGTCTTAAGATGAACATGGACAAAAAAAAGATCATGTATAACGTCCATGTCACACCTATGCCATTAGTTGTTGGTAGCATTAAGCTCGAAGTTGTTGACGAGTATGTTTACGTGGGACAAATAGTCCGACTAGGAAAGTCCAACTTCGACCGAGAGGTCAATCGACAGATTCAACTCGGCTGGGCAGCGTTCGGGAAATTACGACACATCTCGTCAGGCATACTTACAATACAATACAAACACTCACGCCTGTCACCCAGAGGGGTAGGCAGAGACTACGGACTTCCATTTGTCACGATTCTGACACACTTCTCTCGCCTCCTTTACATCCATATATTTACGCATACACGCTCGACGGTTAAGGGTACTCCTAATCTGGCCCATTTTCAATGTATCGCCGATTTGGTCGATAAATCTTCGTCTAGGTTATAGTATTTTATGTATATCTTAGTTCATACTTCAAAACCAGAAAACGAGATTATACAACCAGTCCGTGTTGCCAATGATGACTTATGGATCTGAGACGTGGTCCTTCACTGCTGACCGTATGAGGACGCTCAAGGTCGCTCAGCGAGCTATGGAAAGGGCTATGCTCGGGGTTTCTCTGCGTGATAAATTTAGAAATTAGGATGTCCGCAGTAGATCCCGAGTAACCGATATAGCCTAACGGATTAGTAAGTTGAAGTGGCAATTGAACAGCCATATAGCTCGAAGAACCGACAACCGGTGGGGAAAAAATGTTCTCAAGTGGTGGCCTTGTTCTAGTAGGCAAAATGTAGGGCGACCCCCAATAGATGGAGTGACGACCTGGTAAGACATGCAGGAAGTCCATGGATGCAGGTGGCTCAGGACTGTGCTTTGTGGCATTCCTTGGGGGAGGTCTATGTTCAGCAGTGGAATTGTGAAGGGCTGTAATGATGATGGGTCACAGCATCCACTTACCATCAGGTGGCTGGGTGTTCGTTTGTTCTATAAAAAAAATAATCTACGGTAAATGAAAGTATAGTAAAGTTACGCACATGACCCCAACAGGCGGCCGCGTGCACGGGCTGCCACATGTCGTGATCGACGACGTCGGTGGACGCCCGGTGCTCCAGCAGGAATTCCACCACCTTTATGTAGCCGTTCGCAGATGCTATGTGCAGCTAGAACAAAAAAAATAATATTCAAGTCACAATTTAAGAACCATGGTAGATCAGATGCTATGCGCTCGCCGTAAATGAGCGTTCTGAGTAATTGAGGAAATTAGCAGCCCTATCGGTACCGGCACCAATGAAATTGTAATTTGCAACTTTAAGTCTTTTGCCGTAATACCTGTGGCGTATTTGGACTATATTCAGGCAAAATATGGGCGGTTCTACAGTCTCTTCAGCAGCGTTGATGTGCAAATTCAAGACAGACTTCTCTGTTAATCTGGGTTACGCTACAGTCTGTGGAGCTTGACTACCCTTTAACCATGATCTCTTTCGCACGTTCTTGTCGTAGGTGATCTACTTTTCATCACCAGTGATCAGTATTTTCAAAAACTGTTCGGTTTCATTACGTTTCAATAGAGAATCAGAAATGAGTACACAATTCATTAGGTTTCTTTCAGTGAACTCGTGTGGCACCCAAATATCGAGCTTTTTTGTGTAGCCAGACTTTTTCAAATACGTCAAAACTGTATTGTGGTCAATCCTTAATTCCTTAGCTATGTCGTAACTACTAATATGCCGATCTTGCTCCACTTTTTCAAAAATGGGATCGACATTACCCGTATGAGGGCGACCAGAGCAAGCAAGACATCAAAATTCCCGGACTGAAAACGCTTGAACCAACTTTGTGCTACACTTACTGACTAGGTAATGCATTAGGTCCAAAAACGTCAAATTTTTTTTTCGCGAATTGCGTCATATTTTTTTCTTTTATCATAAAACTTCAGAATGTATCGAATTTTTTCGTTAAATTCACTCATTTTGGCGGACAGAAAACAATTGAAAAAGGGCGGCAAAGTGTTATTTAATTTCTTTTTAATTTCCTATATGTATTTATATTAAAACCCAATTAAAACCAACCAGATACAAACTGTACAACTAAAGAGATTTTTCTTCAATTTTATACAAATAAAATACGAAGAAACTTTTTCACCAACTCAGCTGTAGACTTTGCGTTAAAGCGTGGTGCAGGTGACAGCTTACAGTTTATAATATTAAATCGATTTGAAAAAGGCGATTAACGATACATAAAGCAAAGCAAAAATTTTTTGCTTTATTTTTATTTTTGCTTATTTTTGTTTGCTTTATGTTAATAATTATTGTCGATAAAAAACTTATAACCGGAATATATATTTCTTTACAAATAAATTTCAATGCATGTAAATTTTAGTTACAGCTTAATACAAATTATGACATTATAGTTACATATTACACTATGTATTAATTTTAAAATAAAAATTATCTTTTATTTTATGTTAATTGCAACATTTTTCTTAACTGATTTTTGATAAGATTTCTAATTTATAGTAAGGCGTTGACTACACCTGCAGCTTTTTGCGAGCAAGGTACGAGTTCAAGCGCCTTTCGCTATAAATGTTTTTAAGTGTTTCCAGGTCCAGTAGGTCAAATATTGGAACGAAAGGTAAATATAAACGAAAATTAGGTTTATAAAACTAATAAAATAAAAAATAAAAGTAACAAATCAATAATAATAAAATATTTTGGGAAATCCAAATGTGCATACCTTAAGCACTCATGTTAAACGTAAAATTTTTAAAGGCGTTCAAATACACACAAGTTTCACTAATAACCTTATTACTATATTTCCAATTTTATGTCAAACGTCAATAAAAAAAGTTTGGAAAATATTAAAAAAAAATCTAAATTGTAGTTCTATTCGCCAGAGTTCCAGTAACAGTCACCGAAGGAGATCTTCAAGTCCTTCCATCAAGTCCGTAGGTAAGGTCTTATCATAACTTCTTTTTTTTAAAAAAAAAAAAACATAAGTTGCACAAGAACAAACATCTAGACCCGGAACAATTATTTGTAGTACATAAAAATACTTGTTCCGTGTGGGATTCGAACCCACGGCGCCAGCATTGCAACTCGTCACTAAGCCACTGCGCCACGAAGCTATCAATTTGCTGATAATAAAACTTTATTGTTCAATGTGAGGAAGATTAATATGCAACACCGAGGAAAATTAAGATTATAACAACGTGAACGTGTTTGAAACTCAGATAATAATCCTAATTACCATTTTAACCGATTTCAAAAAGAGGAGGAGGTACTCAATTCGGCTTTTTTTTTGTGAGTGTTACCTCAGAACTTTTTTTTCTAGGTGAATCGATTTTAAATATTCTATTATTTGTTAAATAATTATTAAAAGCTGGTGTTATAATTTATACATCCCATATAAATTAGATCAAGATCTGACGAGTAGTTTTGGAGTTCTCCTTAATAAATAATGCGTATTAGTACTGAAGTCGGTTGTACAAAATTTTTAGTTTCATTAGTTGTCTCTCTTCCTCTCTTTTTAAAAAAACAGTTTACAAACATATAACACACCCAGAACAATTATTTGTAGGCCATACAAATATTTGTTCCGTCCGGGATTCGAACCCGCGGCCCTTAGCGCTGCAACTCATTACTAAGCCACTGCGCCACGCAGCCAGGTTTAAGGTCATTGGCATTATACGCCATAATAAAAATCGATAACTGCGAAGCTGTGGTCGGGTCAACAAAATGGTGGAATAAATATAAAATTATTTAATTCCTTTTTCTTTTTCTTTTTTTTTTGGAGTTTATGGCCTGGTATCTAGACCTTTAGGCCAAGTCTTAAGTATTTTTATTCGGTGTATTGTAATTTTCCCACTCCTTCATAGTATACTGCTTCACAATATGTTGATGCGTCACATTGTGCAGTTCTTGGGAGATTTTGGCGGCAACTTGATCCAGCAGACAGCTGATAGTTGGCGATGGTATCTAAAGGTGCCTATGCAAACAAACAGCTTATCTTGAGAATCCATCACCATCAGATCACTTGTTTCACTGTTTCCACTAATAGTTCACATGCGTAGACACTTAATACACAAAATCGCAACACTTTTACATATCAAAGTCCACTTCAAATCATTATTTAAACAATAATACAGGAGCAGCAAACCGCTGCCGGACAATTTCCCGCCAAAACTCCAATTCCTTTTTCTTATTCTTATTAATTTTGCCACTTTCTCTATTTATTTGTTTATTGTAGTACATGAATCGTTAGTACCACAACCACACATATAAAATAGAATTATTTAACTTATTTTTAGCGATTATATTCGCTTGACAGTTTTTTACGTACGATTATGAGGCACATCTCTAGTAATTAAAACAAATACCGCTAGTGTGCATAATATGTAATTGCGGACACAAATAAAATAAATTAAACTTTTATAATGTTATTAGTGTAAAAAAAATAAACTATATTAGGTGAGAGTTTTTGAAGTTAATGTTAATTTAATAGTCCTAATTAAATAGAAAAAATAATAAATACAAATTCAGTGTTATTTTCTCGTAGTTAAAAATGCTGTCGTAATCATGCAAACGCACGCAAGTTACGTTCTAGAGACCTGTCAACCTGTCACCCATGCTATAACGCAGAATATAGTAACGCTACGATGTCCATCCGACTACAGGACCAGAATACGAAACTTATCAGCAAAGTATAGGTCACAAGATGAATATGGATAAGACAAAGAAATTGTTTGTGAACACCACACCAGTAAATTACATTCATAATTTCATGTCGTCAAAGTTACCTCCGGGTCGCCAGCATGGAGGTGGTTTACATACATAAATAGCACAAGGACACACATCCAGACCTGGGTACAATTATTTGCAGACCAATCACTTGTTCTGTGCCGAACTCGAGCCGTGGCTCGCAAATTAGTTGTCAAATTATGCTGCTATTAAAAAAAAATACCCTCTCTTTTTTTCAGCCTAATATAAATGCGTGGGTATGTTATAACGGCACGCTCCACGCTCAACCAAACGTCGACTGACTCCTTATCCTAATACAGATCCAACGTGGCTGTACCATATAAAAGCCAATTATTTGTTTTCATTTTGAATTAAATGTGCTGTGAATGTAAGATAATTTACTATTTCGTTTGATGTTTTTGTTCTTGAAACAAAATCAAATAGATCGTTTCACTGTCGCTATGGCTTAAAAATTCATTCGATATACCTTTCACGAACGTCTACTAGACACTAAAAACTTAAGCTTATAAAAACTCTTTAAATTTCGCTCAAGCATTTACAAGGCTTCTGTTGGAATATTCCAAATTAGTCCAGGAGGAATCGGCGCATGAGTACCGAAAACTATTCCACCTCAATTTTTTTACGCGATTCTCTGCAAATTGTCCTACTGATGATATAAATTCATGTTGCCATGGGGTAACTCGGTGTCATATTGTTAACCTAAACAGATTTTTTTCTATTGCAAGGAATTGTTATTTTCCAACGAAAGCGGGTGGAAAACCGGTACTTGAAGTCCTTCAGAAACTTTTTAATTCCGTCCTCCATGGCACTACTCCGAAGGCGTAGAGCAGAAGTGCGGTGGTCTTGTGAAAGAAAGGTGATAATGCTCTCTTGAAGAACTATAGACCGATTTCCCTTCTGAACCGCGTGTAAATACTGTTTTCGAAAGTAATTCCGTCCTCTATAGTGGCATTACTCAGGAGGCGTAGAGCAGAAGTGCGGTGGTCTTGTTCTTCAAGAAAAGTGACAATGCTCTCTTGAAGAACTACAGACCGATTTCCCTTCTGAGCCACGTTTACGTGTCGTTTTCGAAAGTCATTGACGTTCCAACGATTTTCGACAATTTTTTTTTATATTTGTTTGATAAAATACGAATAAAAAAGGTCATGACTTTTTACGATAAAGTTAAATTCAATTACTTTTGACCAATTAAAAATACATAAAGAAAAATAATAAAATATAAAAGATATTTTTTATATTTTTGGATGAAAATCGAATAAAAAAGGTCCTATGATTTTTTACAATAAAGTTATTATTTTCGGAGTTATGAATTTTTAAATGTTTGACTCATTAAAAATATAAGTATAGTGCCACCAACTTATCTGTTCAGGTGGACAAAATTGGAACTAAAGCCGCCATTTTGTAAATGACATTTCGCTGTCAGTTATTATTTATTCTGAGCTATCAGGTGAGTGTTTTTAAAAAGTGCAAATAAAATGCCTAAAGATCTTAAAAGTGATGCGCAACAGAATATCCTGAAAGTTTTATCTTTTATGAAAGGCGAGAAACGTGTACAAGCCCCAACTTACCATTTGAAAATCTGTATGAACGCGTTGCTGCCGCGACAGGTTTGTATTGCCAGATATGGAAAATTAAAATCACCAAATAAATAATGTAAAACTGTTGGTAAATCTTATGTTCCAACGCCCCAATTAATTGAAGATGCATTCCATAAAATTACACCGGTGTAGTGGAAAAACATTTGTAATCATATAAAAAACTTGAAAATGAATACAGACTAAAATACGCGTATTTAGATGAACCCTTTATTATAGCGTGTCAGAGCGATATCGAAAGTGACTCCAGTGACTCAGAAGATGAATTATTGGAACCAGTAGCTAGCGCGGGTACATCTTTCAAAACACAAATTCCTGGAGTTCAGCCGCTTTAACTCCGAGGTCACGACCACAATTATTTTTATAAAATATAAATAATATATATAATAACACTAATTCTCACTAATTTTAATATATTAACAAGAAATTTGTTTTATTTTATATTATGTGTAATGAATATGTTGTTACCTATTTCCTCGGTGAATTTCTTAAATGGCAATAGTAAGTGCTCCACTAGCGACGCTGTCAACTGAACAGATAAGTTGGTGGCACTATATAAAGAAATGTATAAAAAATGATTTTATTTTATTCTCAATTGTTTTTTTATTTAACAGTTAGAATTGTATTTTTTTTTTTAAATTCTTTAGAAAAGAGTTAATAATACATCTTTTCTAAAGAATATAAAAAGAAACTATCTTTTATATTTTATTATTTTTCTTTACATATTTTTTAATGAGTCAAAAGTATCCGAATTCGGGACTTTTCAAACCTTTAAAAATTTATAACTCCGAAAATATGAACTTAATCGTAAAAAGTTATAGGTTCTTTTTTATTCGTACTTTATCAAAGAATATTAAAAAATAAAAACATTTGTCCCGTTTGCAAATAACCATTCCATGCAATGGAAAAAAATCGTTAAAACAATATTGCACCGAGTTGCCCCATGGGAACATGCATTTATATCACCAGTAGGAGAATTTAAACAGAATCGCATAAAAAAATTGAGACGGAATTGATTTCGTTACTCATGCGCGATTCCTCCTGGACTAAATACAAATATTGATATTTTTTTCTATACTCTTACCAAAGTAGCACCTTGACTGTCCCTAGGCTCGTCCAAATCCATCCCGTTCTTGACTAGCTCCGCGACGTCCATCAGCATCCTCATCTCAGTCGCCGCTCTCGTTTCGTCAATCAACCTCTGCGTTACGCCCCTAGCCGCCATTTCGCTTTCGATCGCATCTAAGGTCCTCTCTTCTTCACAAATATCATATGGCATGTTCCCGTCCCCATTAACGGCCAGTAAATTCGCTCCCCTCTGTATTAGTATCCTGACTAAGTTCAAGTTTCCACACGTCGCAGCCGCGTGAAGTGGTGTCCACTTTTCGCTATCTTCGGCGTTAACGTTCGCTCCATGGTCTAGAAGTAGGCGCATCATTGCTTCATTGTTATCTATGCAGCATTGATGCAAAGCAGTAAGACCATCTTCGTTAGTCGCATCAGGAGTCACTCCTCTCGCGAGCAATCTTCGCACTGTAACGAATCCAAGCGATAAATTACCATAAAGTTTACCATTACGAATTAGGGTCAGATCTGTGTCATTGCGTTGCGTTCACAAATTCGTAACGTTTTTAAACGGTTTGATTGATAAATTTCGAAACTACTATTAGTGGCGTTAGAGAAATTGTTACTGTGAAAGCATTAAATAACGCGTTAAATTGGAGTAACTTTGGTAACTATAGTTTGTTGTTAGGGCCTTATATATAAGTTTTCTACATTAGTTTTGTAAACACTTGATAATAGTATTAATAAATGTTCAGATAAAAATAAAAATAAATATTAAGTCGAGAAGGTTCAGGGCAAATCAAAGCGAAGTGGTTTTGTCAAATGTAGGTAATTGAATATTAAAATCAAAGACAAAAAGAATGCTAAATAAAGATCATAATATATATAAAAGCTCAACATCAAAAGTAAGCGTCGAGTCGCGGTGTGCTAAGTATAGCACCGCGGGCCCAGATCAAATCCCAATCGAAACCAACATTTATTATGTACGTATTTCCAACGCAGTTATCAATATGCGTCAGCGATCGGTATTCATTTATTTTTTGTTATATTGACGCGAATTTTTAAACATCGATGCTCCTGGAAGTGTGCAGTCTGAGAACATGTACAGGATTGCCCCCGTCATTATATAGATTTAATAGACAACAAATCCTCGCAAAAAAAACCGTGCATGATTCACTAGGTTATTGCAATCAAAAAATATCCTAATTTCAATAAAGAAGATGGCTGGGTACAGCCATCTGCTGGGAATACTATAAATATTAAAATTAAATCCCATCCCGAACACACCACTGGAGGACTTCAAGATATTAAAATTATTTTCTGCGTAGATCGGACTAAAAATTAATAATTACAAGCTGAAGGTAGCCATGGTTAACTATGACATTTGACGTCGAACAACACCTCAGTCCCCCACAATCACGTAAAGTACACATGTTGGGAATATGAAATAAGTTAATTAAATAACCGCGATAAAATCCGTAAAAAGGCTTGTTTCATTGGATACAATTGGCAAATTCAATGAGATTACATTCAAAATAATGTAAAACGAATGTGTGACATGACCTCGGTGCGTAAGGACATCGCACTCCAGCTGAATTATCGAGGCGTTGAAATAACAGTAAATCACTTTTGCTTTTATTTTAAGTTTAATCAAGATCGCTTTATGTAGGTTCTGCTGCATGTTCTTGTGACTCAAAAGTAGGTACGCTAAGAACATATATTTACATTTTAAGAAGTCTTATGAAGTCATCGATATAAGTATACAGTATGTAATTAGTAATTAAATTCAATATATGCATATATAGTATATTTCTTAGGTGAGAACAACTCATCACGCTTGCATAAATAAACCTATTTGTATGGTTTGCAATTTTAACTCGAAAATAACGTTTTAAAATCCATAAACTCTCGCGCTTATTCACTAGGGAACAGCCTAGTAGACAGAGATTACGGATTTTAATTTCGCACGATCCTGATGTACCTTTCTCTCGCTTCTATTAGAATATCATTCTTATTATATTTTAATCGAGTAATTTCTCTTCCTTCAAAACAAAAGGTCCTCAAATATTTTATTTCAATAACTGGAATTATGGAAAGACCAAGACCTATATCCAAACAGTTGACTGTACAGGCCGATTACATATTGTATTTGAAATATACATAAGGCAACACCGCGAAAAAGTGCACCTCCTTTCATTGAATAGTATAGGAGTATGACACGACTAACGAAACTGGAATTTTGATATAGGTAAATTCATGTCTTTATCTTGAATTTGCTTGCTCAAAAACACGATTGTAAAATTTTGACTCGATAATAATTATTTGCGAAAACACCTCTAAAAATCACTATAGTTGAAATTATAAAGAAATTACTTAACCTATAAACTTGGGAATCACTCAAATATATTCATAACATGAATATTCGTAATTTACTTGCTCATTATTTTGATCAGTAAAATCAATAATTTTTTTAAAATATTTTAAGATTATAAGCGATTTCTAAGCGGTCTTAATCGTCGCGGGCGCTATGCAATTTTAGACCTTATGGCGGCGTTTTTAAAGTTTTTATAGAAATTATGTTTCATTCAGGTCAGTCCGGCGATAGCCCGCTTCAATGGTTTTCGATGTGTCTTAAACATTTTAGTTTATTGGAATGATTATTAAGTGTATAACATATTTTTCACAATAAATTATCTATTTTTTTTTAGTATAGGGTGACAAACGAGCACACAGTCCACCTGATGGTAGGTAGTTGCTGTGACCCATAGACATCTACATCTATCCTAAATAAAGAATCAAAATGCAGATGCGTTGTCACCCGTGACGACTAAGATGGAATGCATCTCTTCCAGTAAAAAGGGTCTCCGGTTCTGTACACTTACCATACGAACTACAGCAGTGTTAACTGCTATTTTACGCCGACCCATTCGTGCTACAACTATACTATTAATATAGCTCCAACATGGCTCTACCACGTATTCGATTCTATAACTAGCCGGTATTAGTTGTCCAAGTTATTAGGGGGCGTTGAAGTATAATTTTTGAAGATAATAACTCAATTTTTGAAGATCTTGGATTTTTTCGTTACGTAATACTTGAACGCCCTCTTACTCAGTTCTATGCTATTGATCTAAGTCAGATTATACGAGTACGTTACATGGCAACGAAGCTTCCGCTTAGCCAATAAATTGAATTCCAGATATTTATACGACTACTAGGAACACTGACATACGACAAAATTAATGTAAACATGACATGACAGTTATTGGGTAATAGGGCTACTCTATTCCGCCTTGAAGTCCGTCTGAATACTGGTATGGTTGTTCCACTTTGTAAAATAAGAGATCCAATTGGGTAGTTGATATCAAAATTAATAAATAACTACGTCATATATTTTGTACTTGCTCCTTTTAGTCTCAGAAATTGGTCAATTTACCATTTTCATTTTAATTAGTGCCTAATGGTTAAGGATACGGAACCAGAAACTCAAAAGTCGCGAGTTCTAATGGTCTGTTATTCCAATACTACTACCTAGTACAAGTAGGTACGAGTATTTAAAGCTTAGTTGGAGAGTTGAAAGAGAGTATTAGTGGTGAAGAACACACTGCTTGGTGCTTATTTAAAAAATGATAATTATTTGATTATTAAAACAGTGACGTCATTATACTAACCACATCATTTTCATACAATTTCTATAGAAATATTATATTATATAATTGTTTTCACAACCCTTAAAAATATTAAAATTGTCTAGTGTCAAATACCCAATTAAATACAGGAGTATAAAAATGCAGGGCAATGATGAGGCATCTCATCTTAATAATGGAACTCAGCTTGCATGGTGTTGGCTGAGATGTACATCTTCAAGTTCAAGCTCAAGTCTTACATTCTTGCATTCTAATAAACGATTTTTGATTTTGTTTTTGTTGTACACGCGGGATATATTGTTGTATAAAAACAATATTTCACTCTGTTGGCCTTTTTTCGCCTTATCATATCCGATATCCGAAATGTGAGCACAAATATTGGCTTTGAGTGGCATTGGATCTGAACCCGGCTCATGCGGGTACACTAGCAACTGCATCAAGATAGATATTTAGTATAAGATAATCGACAAGCAAGCTATATACATAAAAAGTTACCTTCCTCTATGTCATTTCTGGCCGCGGCTTCCAGTAGCATGACGCTATCGTTGAAGAATATATTCCGCTTGTTGCTCTTATCTCGTTTTGGCCGCGACCGCGCCCACTCCTTTTCTCTCTGTTGCCATAGTTTCAGCTGCTGCATACGTCGCCTGTAACATATTTACCAATCACGTAACAGTTTGCATACACAAATCGACACAATCACTATCTTGTTCTTACTAATTTATTATACCCAAAGGCGAGTAGGAGGGAAGTTCTGTGGCCAACTATATTTTCATAATGCAACTGTAGAAAATGAAGAATAGAAAAAAATTCTCGTAAAGGATGTGGTCATAAAAACCTTGCTGTAAAGTAACCAAAGCAGTTACGTACGTTGTTAGTTGACGCTTGTGACTATGAAAAGTAAATACAAAATTATTATTAGCGCCATGCAAATTTACTTCGTTGTAACTGGACACGTTTATAGTTATCGCAATAACTGAATATAATATTATTTTTAAGTAGGTGCGATTTAAAATGTTCCGCTGGCCGACCATCACTTAAAAATTCAATTTCGTTGAAATTCATTCATTCATTAATTTATAGGCTATCAAAATTCGCTGCTGAACATAGGCCCTCCATAGAATGCCTTATCAGGAGAATATAATTTCATGGTTGTCACGGTTGGCAGCCATGTTGGAGATCGCAGTATTTTATTTTCTAGTTGTTATAAGGAAGACGGCCCATCTCCGGCCGGCCGGCAACGCATCTGCAATTTTCCTGGTTCCCCTGGTGTTGCGGTTGTTCATGGGCGGCGGTAGTCACTTACCATTAGGTGAGCCACATGCCCGTTTGCCCCCTCTCCTATAAAAAAATCTCCTCTTTTATTTCCTTCTCGATGTGGCGTAGTAGATATTATAACACCACCACTACACGGTTTCAGTTTGAATAATCAAATCTAAGTCTTCCAGCAGCGTCAATTAGTTATTCTATAATAATTAATTGTATAAGGGCGCAGAAAAGTTAAGATACGTGGTATCAGCTCAAACCAATGGTAATTTGTGGTACATTGTGATATAAAAATCTTATTATACACATAACAAATTAATTCGCAATAATGAGATAATCACGGCCTTCGCTTGGGATGCCATAGTAAGGAGAACTAAACCTTATATCTACTCAATTAATCAAAATTAAACGTTGCATTGTTTTAAGCTAATTAATAAACTATACAATAAAGACAGTTTCATTGCGTATATAAAGGCGTTAAAGTGAACATTTATAAAATATGTACATATAACCAAATAACTCCACCCCGAACATATCATTGGGACAAATTTAAACTAAAGGGAAGTCCAAAGAAAGTAACACAATGAAATTACATCATTGTTTCAATATATAGATAACGCAGGTTCAATATCTGTTTGTGACAACCTGACAATGACAACATACCACACTCCTTCTCCGTTTGCAAGTGTTCATGGACTGAACTTACCATTAGATCAGCAAGTTGTATTACAAAAGGTTAAAACTATTTATTTAAACGCCGAAAATGCAAAGATTAATTTTTGTGTTGTTTTTGCATCAAAAGCATTACGGTATTTTCGATCATGTTGATATTTTTGTTCAATATTTTGTAAACGACATTGAGGAATTTGTGTATTTTTTTATCAATATCAACCACATCTACATCTGGCAGCACCATGCTAACTGACGACGAGGCCGATAGCTAGTGATAGAAAATCCATCTAGATTCCCAATCGGAAAACTCAAAAACTAGAAATCAGTATTACAGTGTGAAGGGTTACTGCAACCGCATTTTCGGAAGACTAGACAGCGGTTAACTAAGAACGTAAAAAAGAAGTGACATCCGTTAATTTCTATAACACAACAAAAACACGAATGTAACCTGAGGCACGTGCAACGTTATAGTTTCCGCTTCTTGAGAAGTATCCAATTGAGATTATCGACAACACGCGGCAAGTTAAAAGTACGTCAGTGGAGCATTGAGCCGTTTTGCGTTATTAACAGCAATGTAAACAAGGTGACGACGACGGTCGAAAGCAAACCGGTCGCGCGACACACGGACTGCTAGACCTATTGCTCCCGGGATAAAAATGTGCCATTCGGTAATGCGCTTACGATAGGGTTGTCAGGCACGCAATACTTCCGCGAATGCTTTGGTATCATATATAATATTATAATATTATCGGGTTTTATATAATAATTTAATAATGATCCCCCCCTAGCAGTTTACAATTTGTCTCTGTGAAATCCCTGGCTGTTAATATAGGTGAACCTGTTATTTACTCAGAATATAATGTAAATGCCAAAATATCCAAAAATATACTCGTATATGTTAGGAAAAATAAAGACCCTTCACAGCAAAATAATTTAGATGAACCCATGGTTACATTGTATTTCCTAAGAAAAAAAAATCTCGATGTAACAGTTATAGTTGCACAGCGCCGTGTAGTGGCGGTATCAGAGAATTCACTAATTTATCCCGTGTACTTATGTACGACCTCTTTGTGGAATAGTTTACCACCGGCGATTTTTCCGGACCGATACCACTTAGGGACCTTCAAGAAAAGAGCTTACTCCTTTCTAAAATGCCGGCAACGCACCTGTAATTCTCCTGGTGTTGCGGTTGTTCATGGGCGGCAGTAGTCACTTACCATCAGGTGAGCCGTATGCTCGTTTGCCCCCTCTACTATAAAAAATGTTATAAGAGGCGACAGAAGGAAATGGCACATAACAACGGCCGATCGGAACTTTCACAACAAAACCAGCGTAAAAACCAGCTTAATGCTGCTGTGTTTAGTTTGGTGAGTGTAGAGAACCGGAGATCCTTTTTACTGGAAAAGAGGTATTCCATCTTAGTCCTCACGGCTGTCAACGCATCTGCATTTTATTCGCATACGAGAATAGATGTAGATGTCTATGGGCCACAGCCACCACTTACCATCAGATGGACTGTGCTCGCTTATCAACCTTATCCTATAAAAAAACCAGGTGCAAGAACAAATTGTGATTGGTTAAGTGTTGTCTCCAGCTGAGATTGGAAGCCAGAACCCGTAAATTGTGAGTCTGATCTCCAACCCAATTAACTATATAGTATATATATACTTATAGCTTTTCATAAAGTTACAGCTTACGTGTTATGTTGAATAAATACGGCAAAAAACGTATAAAGAATATATAAATTAGATCTAATTCTGCTAATAATATGTTGGGCAATAACGCTACGCATGAGGGCTATATGTCTCAGAAACTATTTACTAAACCTATTAGCAACGTAGCTATTATTATTTTGCCTTTAACTATTAAGTATTATGTGCATAATATGCCTCAACGACATAAATATAATATACAATCGTTAAGTGTACACTGACGAAACGCAAGCAATAAATCTATTTCTTTAAAATTATTTTTTTACATATGACAATGTGTTATTGAAAACATATTAATGAACTTTATTTTATTAAAAACATATAAACCACGTGTTCATACAAAGTTTTAAACAAATAAATATTACTTTCTTAATAGTTAACCACTCAGATTCATGAACCAAAACACAAAAATTAAGTGACTAGTAACTACATATGGTCGAGTGTTTTATTGACATTGACAGCCCTCCTACAGCAACATCAATACTGGAGCACCGCACCGTCGAGATTAACAGGTCGGATTGAAACGCTGAGCGCGGCCGTATGTTGGTTCCTCGTTGTGTGGCTGCCAGGTGTAAGTAATTATAACGTCTCATTGAACATGATTATGAAAAAATCACTAGATTCACTTTTAAAAATATATCATACCTTGCAATATTATTATTTATATTTATTAAGGAAACCTTCATTATTTTCTTTAAAAGCTTTTTCAAGATTTTTTAGGAATAGTGATTAACAGATTGAATTGACTTTACAGATTGCAGATTGTCATGAATATTCGTAAACAGGTTTTAGTAAATAACGATCGATACACATACTGACCGAAATGATTTTATATCTTGTTCAAAATTGTACACATTTTTGTTATGGAATTATTATCCTTGAAATTTTACAACAAACACGAAATAACTGACCTTCCCCTTATGGATATAATAATTATCGCCACATTTCTTTATTTTTATTCACAATACGTAATAAATATATTTCCGCTCATATTGGAACGAAGTTCCATATCACACTGTACGAATTTGACGGATAGTCGCTAGGCGAGAAAAAGTGTCATAGTCCTTATGGCAGAATCGCTGGAGGACCTAAGCACTATTATTTTTAACGGTGGTAGAGCCCCGCAGCAGTTTTTACTGTTGCACGTATGGGCCGGCTCGAGCCGGGTTGGTACCACGACCTCACAGAATACCGGCGTGAAGTAGAGGCTCTGCTTCTGCGTTTCGTCTGGTGAGTGCAGGTGGCCGGAGGCCCAATTCCCCCCCCCCCCCCCCCATCAACATGGTAGCGGAATTACACAGTAGACTACCCCAGGAGGGTACCAGTACCCCTGGAGAATCCCTCGCTGAGCATCCACGACCATGTTATTCCAATCCTAGAGCGTGGGTGCTCAGGCTGCCCCGCGCATTATGGGGGGGGGGGGCAAAATTCCGCTCAAAAACAAAACTGCTCGGGGCAAACTGAGCAACATTACCAAGGCGAACCCTGCCACGCTATCCGTGAATTTCTGCAACATCAGGGGACTTCACTCTAACCTAAACGCCGTCCACTACCATCTCGAGACGGCGAAGCCGGCCTTGCTCTTTCTGACCGAGACGCAGGTTTCCTCTCCGGCTGATATTTCGTATCTCTCCTGCCCGGGGTACAAATTGGAGCACTCCTTTGTGCCTCGGGCTGGAGTTTGCGTGTATGTCAGAGAGGACATCTGTTCTCGACGCCTCGGCAGTCTTGAAGGTTCGGACCTGTCCATCCTTTGGCTACGCGTAGACAGCGACGACCATCCGCTATGGGACCTATAGAGGCACCGGTAGACGCGCCTACCGGTGCCTCTATAGGTCCCATAGCGGTAATGCCGAAACAGACCGACTCATCGACCACGTCCAAATGGCTACAGATTCCTTGCTACAACAGGTCCCATCCGCAGAGATCGTGATCCTTGGCGATTTTAACGCCCACCATGCCGAATGGCTCGGTTCACGTTTAACCGATCATGCGGG